AGAGAGAGGAGAGAGGAGAGAGAAGAGAGGAAAATGTGGAAGAGAGAGAAGAAAGAGAATAGAGGAGAGAGGAGAGAGAAGAGAGAAAAATGTGGAAGAGAGAGAATAAAAAGAAGAGAGGAGAGAGGAGAGAGAAGAAAAATAATAAAAGAACAACACGTCAAAATGTGACGGTTGAGAAGAGAGGGGGGAGAGAGAGAGGAGGAATGGGGGAAGAAAGGACAAAATTGGAATATTAAACACGTGAGGGGGGTCTCACAATTCATAATGTTAATTTTAGATTTCTTTACAAATAGTAAATATTAAAATGGGCCTGGACTCTATTATTTTGTGTAATGAGGGGGTTATCCCTCATTTTCCCTATTTTTTATTATGGAATAATATATGATATATCTAATTTAGAATTCTGAAAGTTTCGATTTCTGATTTCTGAAAGTTTTTATTTTTAGTAACACATTGTTAATAACTTTAATACTAAGATGTAAATCAAAGAATCACATATTTTAATTTAATATAACTTTGAATGTATTTTATTATTTATTTGGTTAATTCGTAAATATGTGTTCAGTTTTTATACTAATTGTGATTGTGGATGTCATTTATATTTACAATACATTTCCAATTTCAATAGTTTAGAAATTTTGATTTTCTTATTTGTTTGAATTTTATTTTTGGTTCATTTTCATTGAATTACCTATTATAACTTTTAACAGGTCATTGGACCAAAATTCTCAAATTTTATAAGTTACAGGACTAGAATTCCAAATTAGTAAACTTACAGGACCAAAAACTCATTTTGCTGATTCCATAATTCAACATATTTTGTGGGTTATTTATATTTCTTTTTGTTTTTAGAAATAATTTTGGATATCCCCAAATTTCAATTATTAGTAGTTTAATTATAATTTCTTAAATATTTTCTTTTTTCTAAGTATATTTAATTTCAAGGTGATAGTCGTAATATATATAGGGTAAATTAACGGCCACTCCTGATGTATGGTCAAATTAAGAAAAATCTCCTATTGTTTCGGTAATTACAATCATTCCATCAGTTATGAATCGTATTACACGTCCACCCTTATGATGCCAAATTCAACAGAATCTTTTTAATTCCATGGAATATTTTATAGTTAATACTCGTTTATGCAAAAATGCAGTTTCTAATGCACCACAATCTAACATTTACAAGGCAAGAGACACATCTTACGAACACCCTGTTTCAAAATGTGGAGCTCGAATGAGATAAAACGGGTACAAGCTGGAGAATATTCCACATAATCTTAAAGATTCCACTAAATTTGACACCACAAGGATGAACGTGTAAGAAGATTCATAATCAATGGATGATTGTAATTATCCAAACATGAAAGATTTTTTTCGTAATTTGACCCTACCTCAGGGGCTAAACGTAATTTACCTTTTATTCAGGGAAAATTACACCTACACCCTCGAGGTATGCTAAAATATATTTGAAGTCCTTATAGTATCGGTAATTACAATAACCCCTAAAACATTGTTAGAAACTATAATGAAATAATATTTTGGATAAGTTATTCCGTTATGGTTCTAACAGACTACTAGTTTCAGACATTGGTGGAGACAACATAGAGTTAGGGGCTGACATGATTCTCCTAGCATTTCTTAAATCCTTATTATTTTATAAAATTTTCGTATATGGTAGCATTAACGGCCCCGCGGTAAACAAATATAGTGTATATCAGTCCCGATGACATGAAATCTTGGCTCCGATTATTGTTTTAAGAGTGTGGTTGTAATTAACAATAATACAGGGACCTTAAAATTATTTTAGTATACATTAGAGGTGTAAGTGTAATTTACACTTTATTATATGGAAAATAACTTTGAAATTACGATGACTACATTATGGCTTCATTACCATTTCTGAGGTCCTCATTTATTCCGTCTCCGCCGTTAGATTCTGATTTTGCTTCCTCTTCTGTACATTCTCCGCTGATGTACTGACTGAAGCATCCATCAAACACCTCCGAACAATTCAACTCTTCCGCCGATGACGAGTATTCTGGCGAGACACCCTCCGTCTCTGCCGCCGGCGGTTGGCGACGGTTTTAATATTACTTCTACTCTCAAGGGATCCGATTGCAGAATCCTCTGTTTCGGGTACTCAAATTCGGACCCCCAAATCCGTGCCCGCTTCAGCAGCGCTCGCAGACAGAGGCGATTTAGGGTTTCGTGGCCCGTTCTATCTGGTAAATTGGACGATGGCGTTGAAGGAGATGATGAATCTGACGAGGACGGTTCGAACCGGGAAGATTCTGAAGAGAATAGAATTAAACGTGTGAGTTGAGTTTCTCCGTTTCTCTTCTCAGTGTATTTCGCCTGATTTAGTGTTGTTTGAATTGGTTTGTTGAATCATATTTAATTGCTTATATTTTAGTAAGAAATGTTGTTCAATGTCGAATTAAGAGTTTGATTCTGGCTGGTTATGAGTGAAATTGTTGAACAGTAACGGTTTGCTCTAAATTGTACATACACTCATGGCTGGAGAAATGCATACATTTGTCTTCTGTATTTCTCTACGAATTGTGATTTTGATTTTTATTTTTTTTGTATTCGGAGTTCGGAATTTTACCTCATTGTCGTCTAACGTTTATTACACCTCGTGCTTGACCGTGATTTATTTTCTTTGGCACTTTATTTTGCATGCTAATTCCGGGATTTCAGGTTAACAGTGACAAACTAAGAGAAAATCTTGAAAAAATTGTTGGGGTGGATGACTCCAGATTCAGTGGGATAGATCTCGCAACTCTTATACGGAATAAATATGGGAGGTCGTATGATGTTCAATTGATCAAGAAGGTGCACTGTTTCTCTTTTCCCTTTCCGTAAGATATTATGTCCGTAGTTGGTAACGCTATGATTCGAACACTCACACAACAAATCCTTCCTGATGATTATTGTATCGATTGGAAGCTAAATTTCCTCTAGCACAGCATTACTCCATGCTGCCAACTGCCAAGCTTGCATGTTCAGTTGATGCAAATATCAACTATTGAAACAAATGAACTTCAGAACAAAGTTTACGACCTTACACAGTATATTGTTAACGTGTTGACCGAATTTGGATACAAATTACCCTCTTTTGTAGTTTTAAAACATTTGAAATATGTGTTGACAGTTGAGAGATCGTGTAAAAGTTAAATCTTACTAGTATTGATTGACGATTTTAACAGTTCTATATAAATGAGAAGCTGCAGCACTACAAGTTATGTTAACAGTTTTTTCGTTTTTTTAAGTGTGTTTTATATAATATTTAAGAGTCTAAACTCTATTAGCTATTGCGAAATAATAAGTCAAGTTTCTAATTGGTAATGCAGGAGTTCATGGGCAGAAATCTCCTTGCTATGAATGTCATGTGGAAGTACATGGAGCAGGTGACTCCTTTTCTACATTGGTCAATATTACATTACGTTATGATTATTGATCGTAGTAAAAAAAATCGCACAAGGTCACACTCTGTGAGATGTTTATGCATTCTGAAGTTCAACGATTCATCACTGTTTTTGACCAAATATATATTCTTACTGCATAATTCACCTCGATATTAACAAAAATCTGACGATCACTACTGTATAAGGTGTGACTGGGTGGATCAAATAATTCTACTTTGATTTCCATGCCGTCTCAATCTCAGCTAAGTTTTGCTTGCGCTGTCTTAGAGATCATTTCCACTGACCGAAGAAGAGTACATTTTGAGGCTCGATGACGTGGCAACTAATTTAAGATGTTGGGGAGCTGTCTCGCATGTCCGAAGCACTCTTGAGAAGTCGAAAGAACGGCCTCGGATTGGAAAGGTAAACCAGCCCAAGGCGCCCTAATTGACTTTTAGCACACTAGGAATACATACATAGTATTATATGTTGCTAATATTTAAATCCTTTCCAAGATTGCTAAAATAAATGTTTTGAGGCACTGCGATTCAAGCCGAATTTTTCAGATTGCTCCATTCTTGGGTAAAGTATACATTTTGCATGTTTGCTGTTGCAGGCAGTGAGCA